GACCTTATAGATTGTTTCATAAACTTGTTTAACTTTCCTGTTCTATAACTTTCTTACGAGGGAACCTTCCCAAGTGTTAATTGCCGATCAAGCTCATATTTTGTCCATAACTAAGACTCGATCAGACTAGCAGAAGTCCGGAAGGATTTATCCCCATACGCTCTTCTTCCGGAGTTACGACTGTTTTACTGTTTTTTCGACCTCTGGCAATAGTATTTCTAGTGAAACCCAACAATGGAATTTTGACCTGAAATTTTGTTCATAAACAGATGTCATGGTCGCTAGAATGTCCTAAAAGTTTCAGCTGAAATGACCGTTTCTTTCTTAAGATATTGAATTTTCAAGGAACGATCATATTTCAAAGGGAAAGGTCAAAAAATAGAGCTTCTTGGAAACTCAATATCTCGAGAAAGAAACGTTCGTTTCAGCTGAAATTTTTAGGACATTCTAGTAACCATGACACCTGTTTATGAACAAAAGTTCAGATCAGAATTCCATTGTTGGGCTTCACTAGAAATACTATTGCCAGAGGTAAAAAAAAACAGTAAAGCCGTCATAACTCTAGAAGAACAGCGTATGGGGACGAATCCTTCCGGGTTTATACTAGTCTCATCAAGTTTTACTTATGGACAAAATATGAGCTCGATCGGTGATTAACAATTGGGAAGGTTTCCTCGTTAGAAAGTTATAGAACAGGAAAGTTCAACAAGTTTATGAAACAATATATAAGGTCATTTTCTGATCAATATCTTTCATAAAAAAATCTATCCTTTCGGTGAATCAATTAAATCTAATTATTTTAAAATGGCTGGTATTTATGATACTGAAGAGCAGAGAATTATTGACAGAATTAAATGCATCGCTTTTCGTGAAGCTCGAGATGCTGGTGCAACATTTATTAATCCACATTAAGTCACGAAGAAAGTTCATCACTCGATTCGATTTGTTACAGACTGGTGGGAAAAACCATGTGACCAATGTTTTGCTGATTATTCAAATGCTGGTCCTGAGCTTAAATTATCAGAAGCAAGTCAAGACATCATCCTTAAAGCGAGTGGTCGACAAAGAAAAAGTTGCTCTGTTGTGGCGAAGAAAATTTCAGAAAAGCAAAAAGAGTACGTCGTGCCAAGAACAATCAATAACTACCATCATTGAGAAGGTGTAAAGCCGTTCCATGTTATTTCAAAACCGTTAAAATTGGAAACTCATATATCGGATCGATTATGCATGTGCGATTGGTTAAAAGATTGGATCGAAGAAGATTTTCTTCATCTCACACCATCTAATGAATTTTTTGTCTGAGTTGTTCGTCGACCAAATTATCAGAATGACCAAATTTGGCCAAAAAATATCGACGATATTGAAGAAGATGAACGTTATCGTGAAACAGTTAAAAATCAAACATGTATTGGAGTTTTTGTCATATTTACTGCTAAGAGGTTACATTGGGTAATCAAAGATAAAGGTGAATCATGGACTGGTCAATATTTTCCTGATATAATTTTAACTGAAAACGTATTTCCGTTCTTAAAAACTGAAGAAAATGTTATCGATCCCGATGAAGTTGTATTTGTTCATGATAAAGCACCATGTATGCAAGCAAATCAGACCCAACTTTGCTTCAAAACAACGACGTTAAATTTTGTGATAATGATATTTGGCCTAAAATTCCCCCGATCTGAATGTGGCGGAACATATTGGAACAATAATCAAGGATGAAGTTAAAAAAAATGTTATCAGAAACTGGACATTCTTGTTATCTTAAAGAAACACTCAAAATGCACATTTCAGATGTTTTGACAAACACGGAAATCGACACTGAATTATTTGAAACTCTTCTATGTTCGTATCCATCTCGACTGCGTGCTGTAAAGAACGCTAACGGGCGTCATACTAATTATTGGTTGTATTCATCAAACAATGAAAAAATAAAGAATTTTGTATCACATTTAGTTCCAACGTTATCTCATCAATAACTTTTCTCACACCTATGATCGGTGAAATTTCCTAAATTTAGCATACGATGCGTTCTGAGAGTTTCCCCAGAAACTCGATTAAACATCGACGGAGGAGATATAATAGATATAGGAGATATGGGAGATATAGTAGATATAGAGACATAGGAGATATTGGAGATATTGATTAACTAGTGCAGATAATCTTTAACCTCTTCACCGTTATTGACGAATATATACGTCAAAGCAATCTTTATGAAAAAAAGTGACAACTACAATTCCTTAACTCAGTTTTTTATATGCTCTGTATCGACTCTAACATCCTGCACTGACTGGAGCCCATTGTACTGGTTCTGATGTTCATATCGGTTATGCCCCCATGCATCAATTGCACAATTATTCGTATTAATTGTGGGTTCGCTCCTTAAGTAACATTATTATTGAATCGACTCTTACTACTTTATTAAGTGTGCTATTTTGACGTTGATTGTAACAGCCTGTCTAGATAATAGTGATAAGCACAAGCATAATCGTTCACGTATGCATATAGTCTTTGCAGAACTTCTTCTAATTCTGATCTACCTCCCAAAGATCTAAAAGAACATTTAGTAATGTTCTAACCAAATTCTAACAAGTTTTGGAATATTGTGTAAGACAGTCGCAAGAACGTTATCGAATATTCTAGAAGGTTATAGAAAGATATTCAGTAAAATTCTCTCTCTCTGTATATATACATGTGTGTGTGCGTGTGTGTGTGTGTGAAAGCTTCGGCAATTATGATATATTGGTGTGATCCTATAACGACATTATTATATTTCTATTTGCGCATATTCTTCATTGCTCACTCGAATTTTCGACAAAAATCGAAATGACGTCGAGTAGCAATTCTTTCAATGACGGTGACGATGGTTCGTTAACGTCCTGTTCATCTTCTTCTAATACTGATGATGAAATTGATCTGAATAAATGGACAATTGCTTCAGTGGTCAACAGAGATCAGAGTTGCCAAACCTCCTGATTTTTCTACTTTTCTCCTGATTGAAAATCTCCTGAGTTTAGAAGCTGATTTTTATCATTTCCTCCTGACTTCTCCTGATTTTAGTCTTTTTCTAACTTGACTATTAGCGATACCTTGACTTAACCGAGGCTTAAAAGAGAACAGAGATCAATTGCAGTGTTTAATGGATATAATAACGAATAAGGATATACATGACTTTTCGTTGTGAACCAGTTTTTAGTCATATGAAACATGGGATAATAGTCGCAATAGAATGAAACACCAATGCTGAGATCGGTTTATGTTTTTCAGAATTTAGGGGTGACACAGACTCAAAGCTTTGGGATTTAGTGTAGAAAGGCTTGACTTTAATGTAGACTTGGATTTGGATTTAAGTTTGATATTAAATTAACTAAATCTGATGAGGCTTTGTACGATACAGTGCCAGAAGGGAGAAAAGAGGTCGAAGACTTCGATATTGATAAGAAATAGTTTGGATTTGGTATAGGTTTGGGTTTGAATTTGGACTTGGTATTTAAGATTTGAGTTTAGATTTATTATTTAGGATTTGGGTGTAGACTTAGGTCTAAGATTTGAATTTGGTGTTCGAATTTAGTTTCATTTTAGTATGACTACAAGGTTGGAACCATGCAAGTTTAAGATACAAATCCAAGCGCCACATCCAAATCTAAGAGCCAAACTCAGCTCAAATCCAAATCTCAAAGATTTGGCCCCAAACCCAAATATATTCGAGATTTGTTGCACCACTATCAGAATATCAACCAAATTGAATCGATTCCATCATCATGAGACACGATTTAGTTGGAACTGAATTAACGATTAATTGGATAATCACTATACTTTTACGGTGTTATGATTATCTTTTAAATACACCAGATCTGTTGAAATATATTCGATCTTCAGATAATTACAGTCATATTGCAAAAGTGCCATAAACACTATGGTAATGAACTTATATATTTTTTACCTTTTACTCTATATAGTTTGATTTGTACTATTTGATGAATTAGCTTTGATTTTCTATTTTTTTTGTACATTTTAACAATTGCTTACAAAATAACTATTAAGATAAACTTTATGAAATTATCATCCTTTCTTAATTTTATTTCATTTATAAAAACATTTTTTCATCACCAACTCGACTTGGAAAACAGACAAGTGTATATATGAGAGAAAAATTGGATCTTATCAGATAAAAACCACCGAATAGCTCTTGAACTTCAAAGAAAAATCTCCTGATTTTGGAAAAAAAATCTCCTGAAATACTCCTGATTTTTCACAAAAAACTCCTGATTTCTAAAATTAAAACTTGGTAAGCCTGACAGAGATCCATTTCAGTGTTTGTTGGCAGCCGAGAAATTCGAGTCGAAGGGGCTCAAACTCCTATCGAGTTTTGGAATTGCATTTTCCCTAGAAATCTGTTACAAATAATCGTATATGAAACAAATCGGTACGCTGAAAACATATGTAACAATTCTAATCCTCGTCAGCGGTATTCACGTATAAATAAATGGGAGCCAACAAATATTGAAGAAATGAATGTTTTCGTTGCCTTACTGGTATTACAACGAATCATACGGAAACTGGAACTCAAAATGTACTTCGCAACCGATGTGCTTTTAGCTACAACAACTTTCAACAGAATTATAACTGCCGACCGATTCCAATTATTACTCAAGATGTTGCATTTTGAAACCGATCAAGGTTCTGATACTGTATTGAAAAATATTTGACTAGTTATTGAAGCTCTACGTTCATCATTCAAAAATTTGTACAAGCCAGGAAGATTTTTAAATGTTGACGAAAGCTTGCATCTCTACAAGGGTCGCTTATCGTGGAAACAGCATATTCCCTTAAAAAGAGCACGATTTGGATTTACGTTTTTCATGTTATGTGATATAAATGGTTATATTCTTGATTTTCTTATTTATACTGGTCAAGATACAAGTTACAATGGAAAATTTAGTGATTTACCTTTACCAGGTCGAATAGTGATGACATTGGTAGATGATTATTTAGATTTAGGGCACTGTATTGTAATGGATAACTATTATTCTTGGCCAAAACTGTTTATGGAATTAGTAAAAAGAAACACAGATGCCGTTGGAACAGTTCGCTCAAATCGAAAAAGGCTTCCAATTGATTTCAGAAATTCAAAGCTTACAAGGAATGAACGGATCGCAAGATATTACAAAAAAGTGATGGCATTGAAATGGTACGACAAAAAATATGTTCGCATGTTATGAACATTCCATAAAAACACCACCACAATCATTCAGAAGAGACAAAGTCAAGTTGAAAAATCAATGTGTGCCCAGGAATATAATAATATAAAGGGTGGGACAGGTATCACCAATCAATTGTTAGTTCCTTATTGTATCCTCGATAAAGATTGAAAAAATACTATAAGAAAATATTTATGATTTTACTTGATTTAGCTATACTAAATTCATATCATTTATATAAAATAACAACGCAGGAAACAAGCAATATAGCAATAACCCAATTCAATTCGGAATAGCTCTTGTTCGTTCATTATTAGAACAAAATTTACGGAATGATCTTTCGGAGCACTTAGTCAGAAGAGGAAGACCGCCAAATGAACCTACACCGGCACGGTTGATTTCACGGCACTTTCCATCTTTGATTCCTCCAACTGAAAACAAGCAGCATTCAACAAGACGTTGTTACGTTTGTACTCATACACAAAATGAATCGAATCGCACAAGAAGTGAATCGAGATACGGATGTACAATTTGCAACGTTGTACTTTGTGTTGATCCATGTTTTCGTGTGTACCACGCCTTGTTAATTTTTGAACGAAACTTTGAATTTCGAAAACCACTTTTGTAGGATCTAGTTTTTTGCGCTTTTGTTATTGAAAAACAGCTTCTGTTTGCTATATAAAATAATAAAACATGTTTGTCGCAGAATTTTTATGTTATCCTTAAATGTTTGTGAATATTTGAAGGTTATTACGGGAAAAGTTTACTGTTTACTTTCAAAAGAAATTTAACGGTGAAGGGCTTAAATAGTGCTTGAGATCTAATAGATATTCACCTTGATATACTTGCAAGAAATAAATCGCTGTATATTATTCAACTAGCTGCGCATATTGCTTCACTAGTACTGATAATCTTTAAATAGTGCTTGACTTTTAATAGCGATCTATTCAAATATATTCATGCAACCTATCAACCCTTGCTAGAAAAAATCAATCATTATAAATAAATAACTATTTATTATTCAAATAGCTATGCTTATTGATTAACTGGTGCAGCTAATCATTAAAACTATATTTCTATATCTCTATATCTCTTATATCTCTATATCTTCTATATCTATATATCTCTATATCTCTTATATCTCTATATCTTCTATATCTATATATCTCCTATATCTATTATGTCTCCTCCGTCAATGTTTAATTGAGTTTCCGGAGAAACTCTCCCAACACATCTAATCGAGGTTCGACTGGCGGATAAAACAAAGAACCTTTTAGAAACCTAAAAGATTCTGTAAACCTCCTTCATTTTTTTCAAAGCACCCACAATCATGACCTGTATACACTTGATGGAACACACAAGTAAACTGATCCTCTCCCGTCTCGTCCTACGACGGAACTAGTTCCGCGTCCTGCATAGCTCTGGCGTGAGCCATCTTTTAATTAGTGTTACAATTCATTTGTATAGATCATGAAAAAATGTGAGAAAAGCCATACAAAAACTCGGACGATGAAATATTTA